TTTTCATTTTTTTTTTTTTTTTTTTTTTTTTTTTTTTGGTGCTTTATGCTTTTTTTATTATATACATAACATGAATTGAAGTCTGTTATTTTATTTAAATTATGTTGATATATATAATCTCTATTTGTAATTATTTTATTTTGATTTTTTTTTTTAGAAATTTCTATGTCTCCAATAATATTGTTATGCTTATATTTACTAATTAAATGCATATAAAACCATTTATTTTTACAATTAATTATAGATATTATTTTATAAAGAATGTGTATTTTTCTAATTCTTTCTTTTTTTATAGAAAAAATATTCTTAAAATGAATAAATCTTTTAAAAATATTTTGACTACATCTTTTTAAACGTATAATGTTATTTTTAATATAAACGTGAATTTTCTTTAATGATTTTTCTTTTTTTCTATGAAAATTTGTTTTATTACTTAAATTATAAAAATATAATGCTATATCTTTTGAATTTTTTTTTTTTTTTAAGTTTTTGTAATAATATAAATTTGTAATTTTATTAATACTATATCTGAATATATTGAAATAAGTATATGCTTTTAACTTACATATGAAGTTTATTGTTCTAATCAATTTCATCTCATTTATATTCTTGTTATTATGAAGTATATAAATATAAAAATAAATTATATTATATCATTCTTTTAGACTTTAAATATTTCAAACGTTCTTTCATTTTATAGTTTTCAGTTGCATTAAGATTAATAAAATGGCTAGAATTTTACTGAAATATTATATAAAAAAATTTCCTCTATTTTAATATATATTAACAAATTACAAAAAAAAAGAATATATTTAAAAAGAAGAAAAAAAAAAAAAAAAAAACCAATAAAAATTAAAAAACTTAATTTAATATTAAAACTTATTTTTTTTTTTTTTTTTTTAAAAAAATTATTTATTATTACTATTTCTATTGCTAATTTTTTATAATAATAAAAATTTAATTTTTAACAATGAGAAAAATATTTAAATATATGCATTTTCACATATTTTTTTTAAAACTTCTTATTATTCTTATATATTACACTTATAATTTTTTTTTTTTAAACTAATTTAATGGAGAAAAATTCAATACATAATTATAAAGAAAAAATGATTTTACAGTTATATATATTTTGTTATGTTTATATCTTAATATCTTTTTTTTAATATTTTTTTTTCATTGACTTTTTCTTCATAATTATACATTAAGAAAAAATTAAAAGTGAAAAAAATTTGAAATAAAGTCTTACTATTTTTTAGTTTAAGAAGTCTGTAAATTTTTCTAAATTAATTAAACTTGAGAAATGTATATATATATATAAAAAGAATAATATCGCTTCATATAAATAATAGAAAAAAAAAAAAAAAATATGATAAAACTTTTTTTTATGAAATTGAATAATATAAATAGATATGTATTTATGCATCATTTCTTTTTGAAAGATAATTATGAATAATATAATTAGAATCTTTACGCATATATTTATTTCTAATCAGTTAATGTCATTACATAAAATTTCTTTTTTTAAATATAGTTATCTGTATACATTAACTTATTTCATAAATTAATATGATAAATGAAAATTTTTAATTAGTTGAGAATATTATATATATTTTTTAAATTTTCAAAAATGTGTATTTTTTATGTTTATTAAAAAATTTGTAATAAGATATATTTATTTTACCAAATTAACAAAAAAGAAAGATTATTCTTAAAAAGAATGACTATTCTTAAAAAGAAATATAATGAAGAATTCTATGAATTGAAACTATTAAAATATTCTATATAATGCCAAAATGAAAAATGTTTTCAAATTATCTCTTTTTTCTAAAAATAATTTTTTTATGTAAATCTTTTAGTAAAAATGTATATTAAAAAATATAATCCTTTTAAGATAATAAGGTAAATTAAATACATATAATATACCTGAAATGAAATTAATAACAAAAAAAAAAATTTAATCAAAAAGTTTCATAATGTTATACATATTATATTCACATATTCTTTTTTAATAACTTCGATAGAGAACTATTTTATATATAAATGAAAAACATAGAATTTATTTAAACTTTATATGATATTTCATTTATTCTTGTAATAATATTAACTATTGTAAAAAAAAAGTTTAAAAAAATAATTTTGCTCTTTAAGTAAAATAAAATATAACCCATGTTAAATTACTCAATATCTAAGATTCTCAAAAAAAATAATAAAATGATAAAATGGAATTTTTTTTTTTATTAATTAATTTATTAGTTTCAATATTCTTTGGTTATATAAGTAATTATAACATTTCTAACATTATGAATTTTTTTGAACATTGATTTTAAAGCTTTACATATAATTAAAAATGTATATGATAAAATTAATATACATTTAAAAGAAAAATAATTAGAACAGTAAGGTGATATATATGTTAATAATAAGGAAATTAACAAAACATAATGTTTAAAGAGATTTTTAAAAAAAGACTTCTTTTGAACATTCTAGATTTATGAATCAAATAAGTTAGAGGTTATAGAATTTAATAATGAAAAACATAAAAGACATAACTATTGGATTATATCACTATGAAAAATTCTTAAGTTGTATTATATTATTACATAGCATATGTTTGATAATAAAGTATATATATGAAAAAATGAAAGATATTTTATAAAAGATATTTTATAGAAAAAAAAACAATATGTTAATATACGTAATAAAGACATTGTAAAAAATTTTAAAAATTAAGAAATAAGAAAAAAAGCTTTTATTTATGAACTTTAAGTGATTTACATATATATTTATAGAGAATTTTAAAATGCATATTAATAAATTAGTCATTATATTTTTTAGAATTATACTTCACTAAATTATTTTTTTAAATAGATTAATAGGAATTAAATATAACATAAATATAATGTAATTTAAGTCACAAAATATATGGAAATAATAAGTATAGGTATACCTTATATACTTAACACAAAAATATTAGAAAATAATGAAATATATAATAATTATAGGTTTTTTTATCATAAAAATTATAATAATATATAACTTATTAAAAGAGATAGATAATATAAAAATTTCATTTATCATATTAATACTAATCTTTTTAAAAAGATTAATTATATTTTTTAATATTATTCTAAAGAAATAATATAAATAAGTTTCATAGTGATTTATTTAATATATATGGTTTTGTATATTCAATTATGGGAAATCATTACAAGTATTAGATAAAAAGAAGAAAAAAATAATACATATATATATATATAACATGTTATTCTCTAGATCTATATAAAAAGAAATATAACAAAAGAAATTAGATATGTAACGAAATAGTTTCTGATAAAAATATAAAAAAATACTGTTATGTAAAAATCTTCTTTGGTTATATAAAAATAAGAATTATAAAATTCAAATGAAGGTACACTTTTTTTTTGAATATATTCACATAGCAAAATACAATATATTTAATAAATTTTAAAATTGTAAATATAATATTTTTGTATTACTATTGATAATATATTAAATAAATTAGAATTTAGTAAATTAAATATTACTTTTAATAACAAAAATTCCAATATAGATAATTAAATTTGGAATAAAAGTATTAAAAGTAACAAAAAAAAAAAAGAACATATTTTTTTTCAAAATAATATAAAATTATTAATGAAAAGAATAAAATCAAAATCAATAAATTTCTTTTTCTTTTTTGTCATGTTACTCTATTAAGTTTATTAAACACAAAACTCTTAATTCATAAATATCTTTTAATATAGCATATTTAGACAATAAAATAAAAAAGAAAAGGAAAAAAAAATACCATGAATATTTTATACTTTTTATTTGAATAAAAATAGAATACTTTTTTAATAATATTATGCATATAAACACAAATAATGTTATTAGTATTTAAAAGATATTGAGTTAAAATTACTACTCATTTTCCTTTTTTTTTTTTTTTTATAATATCCTTATATATATATTGTACTTATTTATTAATTTTTTTTTTTGAAATATGGTTTTTGTTATTTTAACTTTTTTATATCTTTCGAAGATTTGGAATACATTTATACATATTTACACATTGATATTTTTTTGAACACAAATACAAAATAAAATTTAAAAAATTATTTGTTAAAATTACAACGTAATTAAATCTTGGCAAAAATTAAGAAAACATTATAAATACTAAAATGTTATTTAGAATAACGTTATTAAATTGAAAATTCTGCTTTATTCTCAAAATAAATTTATATTTTCAAAATCAATGAAAAACTATTAATATAATATTTTTCATAAAAAAAATTTATATGATTTTATAAATTAATGCACTCGTTTGAAGTGTCAAAATACAAATCTAAAAGTTTAGAATATTCTTTAAATTGTAAATATTTGTAATATAAAAAATATATCTATGAGGTTTCTAAATACAGTAAATTTTTTTAACAAAAAAAAAAAAAAAAAAATTGAGAGTTTATTAGTCTATATAAAAAAATATTAGAGCTTTTATTTTAAATGCTACATAAAAAAAAAAAAAAAAAAAAAAAAAAAAAACCTAAAAGATGGATGTTTATTTGAAACAACATTATTACGAACACATAAAATATAATATACACATTAAATATGAATACATTCATTTAATGTGTTTCAACATTAAACTTTAAATATCATATAAATATGTTTATATAAATATTAGATGTTTTAAATTGAAAATTATGGTAACAAAAAAAAAAAAAAAAACAATACATAAATATACAAAAAAAATAATTTTTTTATATAATTTAAAATATTTCAAAATTTTTTATTTATAAAAATTTTGACTCAAATATTGCATTAGCAAAAATCAAGTTTCTTTTTTCTTTTTTTCTTTTTTTTTGAGGATACTATTTAATAAATACACAAAGAAAAAAAAATTTATGAAAGATATAATTAATATTTAATTATTATAATTATGAAAAGTTGAAATGCGCCTATAAGAAGTATTTATTTATATTATGAATAAAACTTTTGGGATTAAAAAATTAGTAAATTAATGAAAGAAATAGTCAAGAAGGAGAGGAAAAATGAAAAAAGATATTGTACATGAAAAGAAAAAAAAAAAAGAAATTGAAAAAAATGAATTAAATAAAACAGAAAAAAATATGCAATTTAATAATAATGATATAACATTTATCAATGAAAGTTTTCCAAATAATATATTATTTAGTAAATTATCCGATGAACAAATAAAAATTGTTCAAGTCCCTTTAAATTTGAATTTATGTATAATTGCCTGCCCAGGATCAGGTAAAACTTCTACCTTAACAGCTAGAATTATTAGAAGTATAATAGAAAAGAAAAAATCTGTTGTGTGTATAACTTTTACTAATTATGCAGCTAATGACTTAAAAGATAAAATAATGAAAAAAATAAATTGTTTGATAGATTTATGTTCAAACAATGATTTATATTGTAAATTATTTAATAAAAAAAACATAAAAAAGAAATGTGATACTAATAATAAAATGAATAAAAGTAAATTTAAAGTGTTACACACTGTTTTATTCATAGGAACAATACACTCTTTTTGTAGATATATTCTGTTAAAATATAAATGTCATTTCAAAATTTTAACAGATTCTATTAATAGCAATATAATAAAATTAGCTTTTAATAATTTTTATTCATCTAGTCATGTAAAAAATAACATAAAAACAGAAAATGTAGAGAAAAATAATAATTCATCAGATTTACTAAATTTTTTTAACGGTATGAAAAACTTTAATATTAATGAGGAAAACGAATTGGAAGAAGAAGAAGAAGAAGAAGATGAAGAGTTTTATAATTATATATACGACTTAAAAGAAACCAACGAAAAGGATTATTTTCAACAAACTAATATTAAAAGTATTTTAAAAAGAAAAAATATAATATTTTTAAAAAAGAAAATAAAATTAATGAAGTACGTAGAATTATATAATATAAAAATAGATATAAACGAAGTAGAAAAAAGATTTTATGAAGAATATAAAAAAATTTTAAAGAGTGCTAAATTTATTTATTACGATTTTGATGATTTATTAATTGAAACTTATAAGTTAATGAAAAATGATGTACATATAAGAAATAAGATTTTAGAAGAATGGAGTTATGTATTTTGTGATGAGTTTCAAGATATTAATACCACACAATTTAATATTCTTCAATTTTTTGCTAATACTAATGTTATACCTCATAATATTGAGAATAATATAAATATTACAGATTTCATAGAAAAAAATGATTTAAATAACCTTAATCCTAACGGTATATATGTTGATAAACACTTTAACCATTTATTAAAAAATAACAATAGTATAGAAGAAGAAAAAGGTAATAATTCATCATTATTCAAAGGAAATTCTGATGTAACATCAGAAAATGAAGAGAATGATTATAAGAAAAATAAATCATTTAATAATTCTGATCGTAGTATAACTGTTATAGGAGATGATGATCAATCTATTTATGCATTTAGAGGTGCACATGTTAATATTTTTAATAAGTTTCTAAAAGAATGTAATTGCCTATTATTTAAATTAGGAAATAATTTTAGAAGTACTAAAGAAATAGTAAGAATTTCTAGTAATTTAATTATGCATAATTCAAGTTTTAGAATTCAAAAAAATTTACATACTAACAATATTGAAGGACAGAAAGTTAACTTTCATGTTTTTAAAAATAATATAGATCAAATATCATATATTTTATCAGAAATTGTTTTTTTAAAAAAAAAATACAATTATCAATTTGGAGATTTTGTAATATTATCTCGAACAAATAAAACATTAAAAGATACACTTAGAATTATCAATAACTATGATACCAAAAAAAGAGCATTAAAGTTCTTTAGTGAAATATACAAATATGAGAAAGAAAATCTGAAGGATAATAATTTAAGTGAAAAAAATACTTGTGATACAAAAGATAGTAATGGAAATATTAACGAAAAGAATATTAGTGATAAAAATAATATTAATAATGAAAAAGATAAATGGAATGACATTAATATGGAAACTTTTAAAATTCCAGTAAAAGAATTAAATAAAAAAAAATCTTTTTTTGGTTCTAAAGAAATAATAGAATTAATAACTATTTTGAGATTTTTACTAAATGTAGACGATGATATTATATTTAAGAAATCATTCAAAATTATAAAGAATGATAAGAACGTAAAACTTATAATAGATAAATTAACTAATTGTGATTTTAATGAGAAATTTAATAATGAAATAATTAATCTCACTGATGATAGTAAAATAATAAAAGGTAATACTTCATTATTCAGACGAATTGAAAATATTACCCGTTTATACATACTTTCTAAAAAAAATAACTTAGATAAAAAAAAGTTACTTTTTTTAAATATGTTTACAGAAAAGGAATTAAAAAATATTGTTGACTTTTTTTTTTGTATAAATTATTTTTTGAAATTTTGTTCAGGTGCCAATTCTGTATATAATTTAGTTATAGAAATATTAAAAAAAAGTAACTTTATAAGAAGAATATTAAAAAAAATAGAAAAAATGCAAAATTATAATAACGATACATATTTGAATAAGACTGAAATTTCTAAAATTGTTATTAGTGGTGAACATAATGATGAAATAACAACAACAAATAGAAGTCATAAAAAAGAAGAAAATTATGACGAAACTAATAAAAATAACTATTATGCTAGTAACAATAATGATAAAAATTGTAAAAATATAGATAACACATATAATGACTATGATACTATGAATAAAAAATGTAGTGATTCTCATGTATCTTCTAATGCTATCTCTCATTTCAATGAAAAGAATGAAGATATGTTAAACTCTAATGAAATTGTTAATACAAAATGTGAACAAGTAATAACTATAAAAAAGCGTAAATTTGATGAATTTAATAAAAAATTAGAAAATATAAAGGATGATGAAGAAAAAACAAATAATATAGAAAATGAAAATTTATTTGATACGAACATAGTGAATGAACTTAAAATTAAAAACGATTTAAAGGTTTTATTTAATTTAAGTGAAGATGAATTAAATCATAATGAAATACAAAATATATTTATATTTTTGCAGATGACAATGGATTACAATCCTAATTTATTACAACAAAAATGTTCAGATTGTTTAGTATGCTTTTTAAATGATTTTAAAAATAATATTCATGAAAACATGTTAATAGAAAAAGTTACATTAACGACTATACATAAAGCAAAAGGATTGGAATGGAAAATTGTATTTATTATAAATGTTATAGAAGGAGAAATTCCTCAAAACGTTGAAAATAATCAAGATATAATTGAAGAAAGAAAAATTCTTTATGTAGGAATTACACGCGCTAAATACTTGTTATATTTGTTATGCTATTTACAGAATAATTATACTTCTGAAAAAAATACAGTATCAAGATTTATTAATCAAATGAAAATCTAAAACCAAACATTTTTGAAAAAAGAAAAAAAAAAAAAAAAAAAATACTCAAAAATAGACACAATATACTTTTATATAAGAAAGGAAACATCAATATAAATGTACATTACACATTTAGTATATATAAAAATTATTTAAAAGAATTTTATTAACAAGAATAATAAAAAAAAAAAAAAAAAAAAAAAAAAACATATATATATATGCGTCTTTACATGACTATTATGTCTTTTTTTATGTTATTTGTGCATATATTTACATGTTTTTTTTTTTTTTTTTTTTTTTTTTATGTACTAATATTTTAACGTTTTTCCTGACCAAGTAGAAAAAGTGTAATATTCTGTATTAGTAATTTACTTTCCATTATTTTTATGTTTTTTTTTTTTGAAATATATATATAAAGTTGTTTTTGAATTTATCCTTTTAAGTAATTATTTTTTCTTAGTAATAATTTATTGTACTATGTAAAAATGTCAATGTATTTTAGAGAATTGTTTCCGTCAAATAAGTATATTTTTTTTTTAAAATACATAAAATATGAAGAAATTATTAATAATTTTCATAATTCATTTTTTTTAAAATGTGTGTAAATTTAAAATAGTTTTTTTTTTTCTTTAACTTTTTTTATAGGGTTATAAAATTTAGAACTGATTTTCGCAATACAATTTTTGATTTATTTTTGCATAGAAAATGGGAACTAACAAATCAGTAAAAATTTTTTTTTAATTTTAATACACATATGTAATATATGATTTTATTTTTTATATAAAAAAAAAAAAAAAAAAAAAAAGAACAAAAGAAAAAATAGATAATTTAAGTATAAAAGAAATTTATTTTAATTTGTTATAAGTGAAACAGAATGGAACTTATGTTGGTCAGAAAAAGATTGGATAAATGAAGTTTATGATACAATTTCATTCAAAAATAATCAATATGTTAACCACTTTAGAAATTATTATGAAGTAAAATAATATTTTTTATCTATTCTTTTTTTTACAACTTAATTTAAAATCTTCTAATTATATGAGGCATATGTCTTTTTTATTTGTTTTCACATTTTTATTATTTTTCTTTTTTCACCTTTTAATTTTTTCATAAAACTTATATTTTTATCAATGAACATTTTTTTTTTTTTTTTACATATTTCTGTTTTATTTAAAAAAAAACTTCATAACCTATTTTTATTCTCAGTTAACTAGAAAAGATCTACTAGCTAAAAATATAAAAAGATTAAAAAAGCAAAATGAAAAAATAAAAAACGAAGAAGAAATAAAAAACTTAGATATAACACCTATGACTTTTGTATTGCCATTGGAATATAAAATATTTTTAGAGGAATATAAAAAAAAGAACAATCGCATTTGGATAATGAAACCAATAGGAAAATCCCAAGGAAAAGGCATTTTTTTATTTGATAAAATTTCTCAAATTAAAGAATGGAACATTAACAAAAATAAATTAAATGAAGAAAAAGACAAAGAAAAAGAAAAACCAGAACAATATATAGTTCAAGAATATATTTCAAATCCCTTATTAATTGGTGGAAAGAAATTTGATATAAGATTATATGTTTTAATTTTATCGTATTACCCGCTTACTATATATTTATATAGAAATGGTTTTGCAAGATTTTCACACACTTATTTTAAAAATGAAAAAAATAATATGAATGACATTACTATGCATTTAACAAATATATCTATACAAAAAAATGCAGAAGGATATGATGATAATGTAGGAGGAAAATGGTTTATACGTGAGTTATTTTTATATTTAATTAGTCGTTATGGATATAAAAATATAATGACATTAATAAAAGATATTGAAAATTGCATAGTTCAATCATTCTTAGCTGTTCATAAAATTATAATAAACGATAAGCATTGTTTTGAATTATATGGTTTTGACATTTTGATTGATAATAACCTAAAACCATGGTTAATTGAAGTTAATTCATCCCCATCCTTTTCTTCTAATACAAAAGAAGATTATACTTTAAAATTTAATTTATTAGATGAATTGATGACTTTAATAAATATTGAAAAATATGACATACCTACAACAGATAGAGTTGGAGATTTTGATTGCATTTATAGAAATGGAGAAAAAGTTAATAATGTTGATCCTTTTAATTTTTATTCTTACTTGGGTATAACGAAATATTTCTTTTTATAATATCCATTTATATATATATATATATATATATATATATATAATAAATTTTTTTGTTAAAAAATATTATTTATTTTTTTATTTGTATTCTATCATATTAATCTATTTTTATTAACATTTTTATTATAATTACACATTTTATAGTTTTCCTTTTTTAAAACAAATATTTTTTTGTTTTTGTAGGAGCACATTTATCAGGAACAGAAAATTTAAAAAATATTGCAAAAAATATTAAAATGAAATCAAACACAATTATAAACTAAATGAATTAATAAAACAAAAAAAAAAAAAAAAAAGAAAAAAAAAGATATATGAATTTATCATAATACTAATCTAATTCATCTTTTTTTAAATAATTTTTATTCAATCTTTTATTTATATTCTTATGATATTCTTTTGATAATCTTTTAAAGTTATTGTTTTCAGCCAAATCCTTTGCAAAAAATAGTGTTTTTTCCTTTAAACTTAAAACCTATAAAAAGAAAAAAACAAAATATATAAGAATCTAGTAGAATATTTAATATAGAACTTTTAATTCAATGTAATGCATTAGAACAAAATAATGAAAAAAAAAAAAAAAAAAAAGACAAAGCATGTTTTTATGAATATGTGTAGAATGAAACATTATAATTTATATATTTATATAAACATGTGTGAGTTATTTAATTTAAATAATTTTTTCATATAACTAATTTTATTTTCTTATTATTTTTTTCAAAAATATTTCTTCTTTTTTTTTTTTTTTTTTTTTTTTTTTTTTTTTTTTTTGTTTTCTTACCTTTTTTGAAATATTTCTCCTTAAATTGTATGGTATAATTATAGTTTTTTTTTCAGAAAGTGGTTTTTCAAAATTTTTTATGAATAAAGAATTTTTTTTTTCTTTGCTCATATCATAAATAGAAAATGCAACAAAAGAACAAGGTATCACTAATCCTCCAATAACTAAAGTTTTAAAAGCTTTATTTCTACTATTTAATGAATCAGGTCTGGTAATTTGATAATAAATATCATTATATTTATAAAATAATAATTTGTTTATACATTTGATATTTTTATATCCCCATAACATAGTTAAGAAAATCGAAAGATGATATAATTTTGGTTCATATATTAATTTTAAAGAGGAATAAAAATGTTTTCCTAAATCTATAAAAGGAGATATAAAATTGTATAAAAATATTTTTTCCTTCTTTTTTTTTTCTCTTAACATTAAATTTGAAGATGCATCATCTTCAAAATATCCATCTATTTTGCTATCCGAATTAAATTTTCTTTTATATTCTTCTTCAACGTTTTCATTAAATTTGTCAAATTTTATTTGTTCATTTAACAAGAAGGTTTCCTTATCCATTATCTTGTAAGTAAAAAAATTAATTTTATAAACATAATGACTTAATCTTTTATTTATTTTTTCTTAAAATCAAGCATATTAAAAGAATAAAAAAAAAAGAAGTATCATATATATGCAAAAAAAAAAGATTAAAAATGTAATTTCAAAATTATATTTAAAAAAAAAAAAAAAAAAAAAAAAATCACAAATTAAGAAGTAAATTAAGTAAACTCAAATATATATATATATATATATATATATATATATATGCTTAAAATAATTTTAATTGAATCTCGTATTATCTACAATACTGATTAAAATTAAATTCATTAATTTAAATTAATCAAACTTATTAATATAAAAAAAATAAAATTAATATAATAACAATCAATCTTTATTGTACAGAAATTGTCAAACTAAATATTCTTAAATTCATATATATTTTTTTTTATAATTTATAAAAGACGTTAGGCATACAATTAATCTTTTAATTCTTAATTTTACAAAAAAAAAAAAAAAAAAAAAAAAAAAAAATAATATTCATTAAATAAATAAAATAATAAATAATTATATAAAAAAAAGTTCAAAAAAGTTAAATGTTTTTTTTTTTTTCTATCTTTTTTTTTCATTTTTTCTTTTTCTCAAAATTTTTTGCTTTTTTAATATAAAGATATATAAAATTATTACTTCATTTAAAATGTTTCTAAGTATTTTAGATTTATAAGAATACAGAATATATAAAAATGAATTATGAATATAAGTATAATTTAATAATATAAATTACAAAATACAAAAATATAAAACAAATCTTAAAAGAAGAAATAATTAAAAAACTAAAATTATAATAAAAATAAAGAAAAATACAAAAGTAGAATAATATATATAAATATATAAATTTAAACTTATGAATAAATAATTTTTTTTTTTTTAGAAAATAAACAGTTCTAATAATATATTTTAAGTATTTTTTTTTTATTTTTTTTTATAATTTTGTTCTTACAATTAAAATTTATCCAAACTTTTCTTTTTTTTTGTAATTATTCAAGAATGAATTAGTGGTAGCACAATTATTATATTTTACACTTTTTTTTTTTTGTTTTTTATGTGTATGTATGTATTTGTATTGAAATAAAAGTAAAATTGAGTGTTAGTTTTATTAATTATATCAATAATATTATTATTTTATTTATTTTTTTTTTTCTTGTTTAAAAAAATCACAAATATAGTAACAAAACTTTATCATATATTTTTATATTGTTATATGTTTGGGAATTTAAAAGAACTAAAAATAAAATGAGTGAAAATAGATCTAGAGATTATGATTATTTATATAAAATAATATTAATAGGTGATAGTGGGGTTGGTAAATCATGTATATTATTGCGTTTTTCAGATGATCATTTTACTGAAAGTTATATAACAACAATAGGTGTAGATTTTAGATTTAGAACAATAAAAGTAGATGAGAAAATTGTAAAATTACAGATATGGGATACAGCAGGACAAGAAAGATTTCGTACAATTACATCAGCATATTATAGAGGAGCTGATGGAATAATAATCATCTATGATACCACTGATAGAAATTCTTTTTTACATATTGATGAATGGATGAATGAAATAAATAAATATACTAATGAAGACACTTGTAAATTATTAGTAGGTAATAAAGCTGACTGTAGAGAAGAAATTGAAATAACAACAAATGAAGGAGAAAATAAAGCAAAAGAATTAGATATTCCATTTATTGAGACATCAGCAAAAGATGCAACAAATGTTGAATTAGCATTTACTATGATAACACAAGAATTAATAAAAAAAAAAAAAAAAAATTCTAATTCTAACAAAAATAATCAAACAAAAGTTAAATTATCAGCAGAAGAAAGGGCACAAGGAAGTTTTTGTTCTTGTTAATATACATATGAATTTTTTTTTTTTTTATAACAGTTTTTAATTATCTTTTAATAGTTTCTTTTGTGTTCTACTTTTATTATTTTTTTCTTTTATATACTTTTACATTTCTCATATTTAAATGATTAAAAATATTTTTTGTTATAATTTTAATTTATTCTTAAATATTACCCTTTCATTTATCTGTGAAAATTATTCAATTTCTTTTTTTTTTTTTTTTTTTCATTTCTACAATATATAATACATAGTTATTTTTGTATAATTATCTCCCTTATATTTTCTTATACCTTTGATTAATATTAGTTGTAAAAATAATATATCATTTATACTTATCTCTAACATATATATATATGCATATATTATTTATATTAATTTAAAAAAATTGCATATTATTTTATTAATCATTTAAAACAGGAAAAATAATGAAATACAAAGTTAATATCCATTTATATATATATATATATTTACATATATATACATTTATTTATTTTTTTTTTTTTTTTTTGTTATTAAAATAAAAAAAGAATACATTGTAACATTAAAAAAAAAATAAGTCGTATTTTTTATTAATTTATTTGTTAAAATAAAAATAAATAATTTATTAATAATGAATTTATGCATCTTAAATATACCAAAACTAATGAAAACACAAAACAAAAAGATATATATTTTTCATATTTATATAAAAATTAAATTTATTCAATATATATTATTTAAAATGAGTACAAAATTATCTATTTTGTTATATAAAGTCTATTTATAGTATATTATCATTTAGGTTTTAGAAAAAAAAATATGTCAGCTTTATTTTTACATATATTTTTCTAAAAAAAAAAAAAAATAATATTTTTACTATAATTAAATTCCATTATTCGATGATACAAATATACAAAATATATTAATAATTATAAATTTTAATAATTTTCTATTTTTTCTTTCTACTTTTAAACGGTTTTATATTTTTCATTTAAACATAATAAATGTTAAATTTAGACGATAAATTCATTTTTATAGTAATAATATAAAATTAATAAAGATTAATTAGTTTACGCATTTACACAAAATACATTCTAATATTTTCTTGTTTTAAACAATTGAATTTTTTTAATCTATATTTAATATTTAATTTTTTCTTATTCATAAATTCCTGTGAATGATCATTTTCTCTTATAAATATGCAATTTTATTTATATATATACATATATGTATTTTTTTTCTTATTTAATTCATGTCTTATTAAATCTAATAAAAATTATGTTACAATTTATAAATGTAAAAATAACTGTGATTTTTGAAGTTATTCTATTTTGTGATAAAAAATAAAATAATATATTAATAGTTTATGAAAAGAAATCATAAAATTTAAAAAAAAAAAATGATATAAAAAAAATAAAATTTAATATAATAAATTACGTTAAAAAAGAAAGAAAAAGTTTATAACTTCTATTGAATTTATCCTAATTCATTTATACATTTTATTGTATTTTTTTTCCTAAAAAAATAGACAAATTATACTAAAAAAAAAAATTAAAAAAATAAAATACATAAACAAATAAATAATAAAAAAATTAATCTCACGCTCATAAAAAAAAAAAAAAAAATAATGAAAACAAATTATATTAAAATTTAAAAAAGTAATTAAATTACTTTTTTTAGAATAATTTATTATATAATGAAGATTTCTACTGTGGAATGATATATATGTGAAAAAAAATCTATTATCTCTTTTTTTATATGAATCATTGAAAAAATACTCGAATATAATTTACTACAGTTTTAAAATAATACATACGTATAATATATATATATATATATTTATATATATATATGGTTTTATAGTTTTATGTGTTTTTTAAAGATATTACTAAATAAATATAAAAAAAAGTATAGGAAATTTTATGTTAGTTTAAAAGTTACTTCATAATGTTTTTTATGAGCATAACATTTGCACACAAAACTACTTTTATAATGACTTTTATTTTTGTAAATTTTTTCTATAAATCTTTTCTCCATAATTAAGTTTGATTCTTCATACGTTTCTGAACTATCAGGTATGTAAACATATGTTTTTGGTAATATAGTTAACAATCCTTCATCATCTTCAAAAAAATCTCTTATAAAAACCTTTTTGTCATTATCATAAACATCATTAAAACATATATTTTGATTTATTGAATCAACAGGGCATATCATACCTAGTATGACTTGGGAATCTGCATGAACAGTTATATCAACACTAATTTTGTTTCCTTCAATTTTAATATTATCACATTTATTTGAAGTATATCCATATGAACAATTATCATTCATTTTTGAAAAATCAACACCTACTAATTCTGGAATTTTACCTCCTGCATGAATTATAACTGATTTTTTTTCTGTTTTCATAGATTCATTTATAAAATATAAATTGTTTTCAACTGTATCCTTAATATAAGGAGGTAATTTAAAAATGTACTTAGAATCGCCTTCCTTAATATATTTTGTGTTTGGTGGGAATGAAACATTTGATAAAAATAAATTTTTTGATTTTAAATTAGGTAATTTATAATAAATAATATTATTATTATGTAATGTTAATGGTTCAGGTAAATTAGCAGTATTATCTAAAATAAAATTGTTCTTATAATTTAAATGTAATTTTATAAAAAAATTATCACCTAAATCACAGTATAATATGGTATCTTTAAAAAAGTAATTTTCCATATCTTTTTTGATATGAAAAATGTATAACTTATATTTATTATATTCTTTTATGATGTCAATTTTATGAATTATGTTAACAGGATATAATAAATTATCATAGGAAAGATGGAAGCATTTTTTTAAATCTGTTTTTACTTCATTTAATACACTCAAAACAAAATATCTATCATCTTGATCAACAATAATTTCATCATAATTAATAGAACATGTGTAAACACTATCACTTCCTCTTGTAAAACCAGGATTTAAGTTATCTTTTTTTATGTATAATAAGGTACAATGCTTTACAGAGCCAATATAACGAAATACATAAGAATATGAAAAATTTTCATTTTTATAATTATATATTAGTCGTGAATTGTCTAAAGGAAAAAAATGATCTCTAAAGCATTCCTTTCCTTCACTTTTAGCTGCTTCCGTTGGAGCTAAAATAACACTTTTGTACCTATAATATAACTGGCAAGGAGAAAGTTTATCATCTGAATGATTAGTTAAATAATAACCTCCAACTTTTACTACATCTCGCAATATTTTACCTTCGATTTTAAATTCAACATCAGAGCAGTCAAAATCGTACATACTTCTGTATATACACTTAACATAACTAGCCGTTATAATATGTGAAGAAATAAAAAATCTAAAACCTATTTCATTACCACTTATTTTAGGTACAACCAAATAATAAGAAGAATACATATAAGTTTTTGGGTAATAAAAGTTAAATTTGTAACTGAAAAAAAAAAAAATATATATATATAAACATATTTAAAAATATATAAAATATATATATATATATATATATATATATACATATTTATTTTATTTTTTATTTACTTCCAAGACTTTCCATCAGTATCACTACCGTGACATATAATAAAAAGTTTAGAATCGTCATGTATAATTCTCTTGTAATTTATACCACATATAAGTAAAAATTTATTTCCAAAAAATTCGAAAGGTTTTAAATAATAATCAGTTAAAGATAAAATATCAAATATTTCATAATTTATTGATGTTCTTTTTGATTCAAATGTATCACCATCATAACTAGTTGAATAATAACATTCACAAGGAACTCTATAATGTAGCTTATTATAGCAAAAAACAACTACAATTTTATCTTCTGTTGAAAAACTGTAAAAATATCTAATAATTTTATTTGTATCTTCTTTTAATAATTGATATTTTTTTTCCCATGTGTTTCCTTCTTTTATTTTGTATATGTGAATATTATATTTATATTCTGATTTTATTGAAGATTCAAAATACAAGCAAACTAGTATTAATTCATCTTTAAAATTTACATAATGCTGTCTAAAACATTTTACATCTTCAACTCTTTTAAATATATTCTCATTTATAATTTTAAAATAATAAGATCTTGTTTTATTAAAAAATAAAAATGCCAAAAATAAAATAAAAAGTAACTTCCTTAAAAGAAGCATTTTAATTAAAAAAAAAAAAATTAAATTTATATATATAGATATATATAGAGATATAAATAAATAGTAATTATATACTTTAAAACATATAGTATGAGGTGTATTTTAAGAAATAAATAAATTATTAAAGTCTTTATTCATTTATTTATTATTATTTTTTTATTATAAATAATATGAAAGTTTTACAACTTTTCCAAAAAAAAAAAAATAAATGTTAAAGCAAAATTCATTTAAGTAAAAAAAAAAAAAAAAAAAAAAGCTATAAGCTTTATTTTATTATTTGTTAATATATAAGAACTAGTTATTGCACTTTTTATAAAATAAATACATTTTAAAATATTATCATTTTTGTAGATTAACATTAAAATATTATTTCAATGTCAGGTAAATTCATATTTATAAAAAAGTACATACAAAAAAAAAAAAAAAAAAAAAAAAAAAATTTTT